CGGCCGTGTTGTATCCGATATACAAACTCGAGCCGAAGGCGAGAGTTTGTATATCCGACACAACACGGACGCGAATGTTGTAAACAACTTGAAAAACGACTCATCTAATGAGCTCATTGGCGAAGTAATTTTAAAAATAAACGTTGTCTAAGCAGAGAAAATCAAAGTTAAAGTTTATGTAAATCAACATAAATCTGTATCACATATACAGATGCAGCACGCTTGTGATTTTTCTTTGTGTTTTCTTCATAAATTATTAATCCAGGTGAGTATATATACACTTTAAGACCTGACCAGGAACAACTGCAAAAAATGCAGCACAAGGCCCGCTGGTGGGAATTGAACCCACGGTCCTGCGATTTCAGTGCAACGCTCTAAGCAACTGAGCTACAGAAGCCAGCTGTTGAGCAGTAAGCCATAAGTTCATGTATATATAGGTGATCGCGTGTGCAGGTTATGATAAGTTGTTCTTCAATGATCTGGTTACTTGCACTTCACAACAGCTAGACTCTGTAGCTCAGTCGCTTAGAGCACTGCACCGGAATCGCAGAGCCTTAGGTTTAATTCCTACCAGAGGACCCTGGGCAGCATTTTTCGCAGTAGCTCCTGGTCAGGCCTTAATGTGCATATATACTCACTTGAATTACAAACCCTAAAACAGCATTCCAATCCCAATCCCAAGACAAAAGTTTGGTTTAATTAAAACCTGTGTGTCTCTTTTGAGAATGGACTACGTATACATGTAATAAATTATTTTTCTCTGATCATACATTTAACCACATTTATAGGGAAGAACTTTTCATCCCTACTGACCATACCATTTTGAATACAATAGAATAACAACATCATTTTGGTTTACGATCTGTCCAACACCGTTTTGGTTTTGGATGCATACACCATTTTGGTTTTTGGATTTTGGATGAATCCAACACCATTTTGGTTTTCGATGCATCCAAAACCATTTTGGCGTTTTGGCAACACCATTTTGGTTTTGGATGTATACAACAACATTTTGATTTTTGGATGCGTCCAATACCATTTTGGTTTTCGATGCATCCAACACCATTTTTGTTTTTGAATGTGGCAGCACAATTTTGGTTTTGGATGGGCCAACACCATTTTGGTTTTGGATGCACATCCAATACCATTCTTTTCTTGAAATCAACAATGTGTAAACGACGCATTTGAAAAATGTACGTTGAAGCGAAGAAAATATTTGTCTATACAAAATGGGGACCAATTATTGTAGTTATGTTATATACAAAATGTGGACCAAATAGCATTGTTATGCACTGTTATTTTCAGGGAGTTAAAATAACTCCCCTATTACTCCTTTTTGGCGGAGTTAAAATTTTAAGGTTAGTTTAACTCCAAATTTGGAGTTAAAGTAACTCTGTGAGAGGAGTAACAGATTTTCAGGGAGTTCAAATAACTCCCCTATTACTGCTTTTTGGTGGAGTTAAAATTTTAGGGCTATGTTAACCCCATATCAGGAGTTATAATAACTCTTTTTGAGGAGTTCTAGGATACTGGCGAACTAGCTAGTGGAGTTATTCAAATATAACTCCCTTTATTGGAGTTATTTGTTATAGGAGCCTAGCCTGGGCAAGCAAAATGGCGTCGTATTTTCGGCTATTTTTAATAGTTTTAACTCGCTCAGATTGCTTTCCTTTCAACTGCAATCAAGAAAAAAACGTGACAACGTATACAAAAGGGAAACAAGAACTACATTATTCATGTTTCAGGTAAGAGAACATGTTTTATTTCGTGTTTAATATAAATATTCAGATGAGAGGAGTGACAATTTTGGTCACAGCAGCTCAATGATGCAGTGTTGTATTACAACTTATTTTTAATATTCTGTTGTGATGTGTTGTACTATATTAAATTTAAACATGGCAATTACATTGTACCTTGTCATACAGTGCAATACAATGCACTATAATTAGTTAAAAGAAGACATGATAGCTATAACAACACAAAATACAGTAAATTTCATTACAGTACAACAAAATATATTACAATTATGCATAGCACAGTACATTACAGTACAATATTCCTGAAAATACAGTACACCAAAGGACAGTACAGCACAATTTCCCACATGGTTCAGATTACTGTAGCACAGTGAAATACAGAAAATTTTATAACACATAACAATTCAGTGCAGCACAAATTATACAGTTTGAGGTGATTGTTTGAGCTGTATATGTGCAATACCCTCTCAGTCTTGAGAAGTATTGTCGGGATTATACAAAGTAAAATACTAAAGTAGGGCGTCATGGGCCAAAAAAAGTTTACCACAGCCCAGTCCAATCTATGTACTGTACTGTACTGTTAGTGTGGCACAGCATAGTGCAAAACATCACAAGAATATACACTGTCAGTCATTTGGCACAGAAAAGAACAATACTGTACTGTACAGCACAATTGAGTACACAACAGCTCAGTACAAATCAATATGACACAGATAATAGCACAGTGGGTATATGGCACAGTGCGGTATACCACATAATGGTGCCATATAAAAAAGTAAAGGACAATACAGAATAGTGCGACACTGCATTCAGCATAGTGCAGCACAATGTAGTGTAGTAATATAGCCTATAGTAAAGGTACTGCATAGTACTGTACAGCATAATATTATAATCACTGTATGGCACTTGAACAGTAGAGTATGGTGTGGCACAACACAATACAATATGACACAGCTCAACACATTAAGATATGGCAAAGTATGGTATACACACAATATAGTGCAGTAAACACAGTCAAGCATATTCAGAACAGTGTAACACATCACAGTACAGCACAATACAGTGCAATATGGCGTTGCATACCACAGGACAGCAGGAGTATGACACAACAGAATACAATACAACACAACTTAGCACATAATTGTATAGTATAGAACAGTATAACACAGTGCAATTATGACAATTAATACAGGATACACTATAGCACAGTGTAGCACACTATATATAATGGGGTATTATGGCACTACAAAGTATAGAAAATTAATAACATAATATATTGGATATAATTGAATGGAATATACCACACTGCTCAAGACAAAAAAGCACTACATATAGCAGATAGACGCACACGGCTAAGCATATAACACCACAACACATAAGAATGCAGAATGGTACTACTGTATAGGTATGTATATTCCTGCCAGGGACCTATAGTGCATTTTAGGTCTAATAAATGTATATAAATTTCCACTTCATAATTATTTCCATCTACAAGACCCCAATATAGCATGTGCGGCACCACAGTACAGTATGTACAACATTCCACATGCAGTAAAGCATGACCCAGCAATACTATATGCCCTGTGCAGTACCTTACTGTAGTGTATAGTACATACTGTATGTCTATATTGTACTGGTTGGTTCCATACTTTTAATATTAATTGTGTTCTGTCATACTGTACTGTACTCTACTGTACTGTGCAGTTCTATTCTATTCTATACTGTGATGCCATGCATACTACATTATTTTGCTCTATACTGTATTGTGCCATCATGTTTTCTTCTGTGTTGTGGTGCCATCTGTGTGAGTCATACTATACTAGAGCATGGCATGCCATACTGTACTGTTTTATAGTGTACTGTACTGTAATGTACGGTACTACTCTGCCGTACTGGTCTGTCTTGGGCTGTGGTACTGTACATTATAAAACAGTATGTACAGTACTGCAGAGCGAAGCAACGGAAGCATGCTAGCTCTAGTATAGTATGGCTCACACAGAAGGTACTACAACACAGAAGAATACAGAATGACACAACACAGTATATTAGAGCAACACCATAATGTAGTATGCATGGCAGCACAGTATAGTATAAATACAACACCACACAGTACAGTATGGCAGAACACAATATTAAAAGTATGGAACCAACCAGTCAATATAGACATAGTATGTACTACACATTACAGTAAGGCACTGTAGTAAGGCACTGCACAGTGCAGTTTTTTTAGAAGAGTAGCGGGCAGTACACTATAATAGAACAGTATAGTATAGTATTAATTGCAACAATGGACCATCTATACTTAAACATAAAAGCAAAAAGCTTAATACAATGGTTAGTCAATATGGCCCATTATCAAAAGAGCCTATTATCTTGAGAGTACTTACTTCCAGAGAGATTATCATCGTGCTTCTCGCAGTGCGATTTTCTGTCCAACTTGCTGCATATTTCTCCGTACACGGACATATCAAAAAATATATGAAATCTACAAATCTTTCGGTTGTTTACATTTGCCAAGGAGACGCAAAGTAGTGATGGGCGATACCGAGTACTCAGTATTCGATACCAGCGATACCACAAACAGCGGTATCGGTATCGATTACTGACGTGGTATCGTTCGATACTTGGACCCTTTTTTAATTAAATGACTTGTTTAATTTCACTTCTTGGTTGAATAAGACTTTATTACAAAAATAAGTGTGAATTTGGGAATAATGTGGTTGATTGACAAAAATTTTAGAAAATTATGGAAAATTTTTGGATGGGGGGGGGGGGAGAGATCGAATACAATAATGTGAAATGTTTTTCCGCTGACCGGGAGGTATCGAAAGTAGCGATACTAGCAATTTGAGTACTCGCTTCCGGTATCGAAAATTGAAATTTTGTGTTCATTATGGTATCGAAATAGGTATCGGTATCGGCCGATACCGATCTTAAAAGTATCGGTATCGGTACCGAATTAAAAATCCTGGTATCGCCCATCCCTAACGCAAAGTGCCGAGGGAAATTTTCCCCGGTAGTTAGTTAGGAATCCGTCCAATTAGCATCCAGTAATCAACAAGAGTTCAATTTCCCGACCGGGATAATTATTTTCCCGCTCTTTTCTTCATTTTTTGTTGAGATTTTGTACTTCAGGTTTTAGCACAAAATTTTCTTGATTAAACTTGGATATTTTTACAGAAAAATGAAAGAAGAGTACCGATGTTCTGGTTTAGAATATATATTTGAAGGTAAGGTTGTGTCCTATGGACTTTTATGTTATATTTTTGGTATATTGCATTCAATTTTCCTACAAACAAGCCTGTGATGGTTTCGCGTTCAAACAGGCAGAACACACGGCGACTGTCCAGGCTGTCAACATTTAAAATATTTCTAGTGCAGATTGAAATAGTATTTCTTTCTTGCAAGACTGAAATGGACCTTCAGCAAATTTTACATGATGTGCCAGGCCAGCTTTTTCCAGAAGGAAAGCCGCCTTTCTTGAGAAAGATGATTCAAAGACCAGGTAAATAGCAGTTTAACAGGCAAATAAATCAGGACGAGATCTTCTGTCCTGTTTTTTTTTTATAAAAATTAGCTTCTGCTGGTATATGAAAATTTATAAAATGCAATACATTTATAGTCAAAAGAGGGCAACCATTGAAACGTGATGAAGCTTTTATATTTTAGAATCTGATATAAGTTTTTTATATTTATATTCAGTAGGCATATCGAGAAGAAGAATTGATCATGGCTTTCTTTGCAGCAATGATGGCTCAAGCTTCAAATAATTAAGGTGCAAAAACTAATATTTTTAAGTCACTGTAGAGTACAAGAGCTAGG